CAAACCAACTCTCCCAAGCAGATAGAAGATTCTTTCAGGCAAATTCTATTTCAATTAAAATGTACCGCACCCCCAAGAAGTTACCCAAATTACAAATCAGCAGTTTACTTCTCAATGAAAATTTTACATAGCCTTATAATGGAGAGCAAAATACCACTTGTTATTACTGGAATAAATTCAGACCCCAGCAAGAAAACAATAAAAATACATGGGCCTATTACAGCATAAAAATTATCAAGAGTAATTCTGGCACAAAAAAAAAATAATTTATGAAAAGTAAACACGGTGACAGTAAAAAGTATCAACCTTACTAATCAAGAACCAGAATGTTTCCTTCTATTAACCCAACAATACAAGTCTTTGCAACCTGCCACGGCAACATGCATCACCCTGGAGGAATTGCACAAAGCCAAACTGATGACTGTAGCGATGCTACAGTGATTCAACGTAAGGCAGAAATTAAGATGAGATCAAAGTTCTGAGTCACACCCCTTACCATACCAGTAAGGGGGAAAGGGGGAGGGGTGGGGGAGTGAAACAGGAAAAAGCCAACATACGTTGACTATTGTGAATTAAAAAAAAACAACCAAACAAAAAAACACCACCAAAAAAAAACCCACAAAACAACACACACACCTGAAAGAAGCTAAAAATGTGAAAGGAAGAACCATGGTTAAAATAGCTAAGAAAAACAGCTATGCAAAGGCAATGACCTTTTAAGATACATCAGCACATAAATGAATTCTAGTACTGAAAAGATGAAGATGGAAAAATCACTAGTGAGGCAAAAAGCTGTAAGCATTCAATAAATATCGTCTACCTGTATTTGATAATGCAGATAATTTTGTGCTACATGAGGATAATGAAAGACTTCCAATATACTTATGACTAAACAGGTCACAAAATGGCAAGGGGTGGAAGGGACCTTGGGAGATAGTAACTTTTATGATTTCATAAGGAAAAACATAACCACAAGGTCTAGAAAAATGCCCAGGAGAACTGCCTTAGGATATCAGCAGGTCTCCCACACATGTCTCCGATGCACGTGGCAATAACTAGAAAATTTCTCCAGAGGAGATATCCCAATATAAAGAAATAACAACTAATAATTGCAAGAGAGTTAGAACACTTTTAATCATGGATTAAAAGTAGAAAGGAGGTTAATTAATGAAGTATTAATTCACTTCATAGTAAGAAGTGTAATTAAAAGGAAAACACTATAATTAATGCCAATCAACATGGTTTTATAGAAAAGCTATCCTGTTAAACAAACCTGGGGTTTGTCCTTTGTGAGCAATTGCAGTAACACTAGCTTTTATAAGGCACTTCACCTAAAACAGGTGGCATTCTAGACAAAATAAAAGCACTACTCGAATTAAAAGCGAGTTAAGTGAAAGACCTAATATTTAGCTATTATGTCAGCACTAGATCTGAAGTAATTTTACATTGTTCTCAGTGAAGCGAAAATCACTGTACCATCAGTGCCAGTGGAACTGCCAATAACAGTGGGAACGGTGTGATCCGGATCAGTTGGTTCACCGCACTCATTTCCTGAGAACACACTCTCATGCACATATTAAAAAATGGAATGAGTGTTTGCAAAAGCATGTATGTAAATCCCAGTTAAAAGAAAACGATTTATACTCAAACTTAAAAGCTTAATCTTTTTAATCCTTTAAATAAAAAACGGACTTAATTTGATTGCAGTATGAAGTGCATACAACAGGCCTTACTGAAAGGCTCTTTCATCTTGAGGATAAATAAATAAGGACACCGATGTTTAGAAATTATACTTAAAAAGAACATACTAAATTTCACATTTGAACTTACCTAACACTAAAGGTAATAGAATCCCTTCTTTCTTGGGGTTTTCAGATCAAAACTATACACCTCTGTATTCTTAGGTGCAAATAATGAGTCAGGGGTGTGATATATAGGAATCGCAGTATGTAAGTGGTCAGGCTATATAAACTAACAGGACCTTCTGTCTCAGTTGGATTTTACAACTCAGAAACACAAATGTTATCTAATCCTCTTCATGGCAAGGCAATGTTTTGGAGAAATAGGCAAATTTATGATTTTGTCCTCTATAAATGTTTCTTCCTTCAGATTTATTTATCCAACAGTTAACCATCCTCATACAAACAGGCATAAGAACAAATACACCCTTCCTCCATATATTTTTACTGGTTCAAGGAGGCTAGAACACAATTCTTCCTATAAAATCCAAACCATTATGTTCTAAATCATGACTGATCAGATGCAGTCAGTCTTGTATGATTAAGTACATAATTTTAAATATGTTAAGATTTTGGTTTGTTTGTTGCAATAGCAGAATGCAAAACTTACAACTTTTTAGGGAAAATACAAAGTTAATTTTATTTACCTCCCCCAAATAACAGCCTCCCTGGCTTACTAGAGCTCTATTCTCTCAGAACAGCCTTTGTGCTGTTAGTAGGTCTGACATTTTTTTAAAGGAATGGAATGTAGTTCTAGATGCCACAAATACTACAGTGTATTTACTTGCAACTCAAGTATTTTATTTGCTTCAAGCTCCCCAGTCTCCTCCACCTGCTTGTCTAGAGTCATTTGAACTCTATGCCTGTAGCTTAAGTACTTAAATTGCACTAACAAAAATATCCTGTTCAATAATGAATATCAAACTCACAAAGAGCACAGGATACTTTAGACTTGACATTATATAACATATGAAATATCCCATTGAATAGGGTAGGATTAATAAATAAGAAACAACAGAATTCACCATGGTTGGGATTAACACAAGCTCTTCTCTACTCTTAAACAGAGAAACACCAGGCAAGGAAAGAACATCTGGAAAACCTGCTGTACCCCACTGGATGTCAAACCACACCCAGCAGCTGGAAACCATACCCTATGTCCCAAGTCATCTTTAATTCCACTTTAAGCATTTACCACTATGTAAAAATCCCCTGTTAAGATAAAAACTTCATACATCATCTTTTCAGATAGGCTATTAATATAATGCGAGGCAAGGCCAGTTATCTTTCAAATGAGATTTAATCAAACAGGGCATCTCATCCTTAGCAGATTTAGTTACTCTGTTCAATTACTGACAAACATGTCCCTTAGAGGTCCTAAGGAAATAAATATTCAGTGCAGGTAGTTCTATCAGCAAAAAAAAAAAAGCATTACTACCTCCCCAAGAGAATAAAACCACGTCGTGAGAACCGATTTTCAGTCTTGTATAATAAAAAAGGCAATTTGCCACAAGACCTTTAACACCCATTTGTTAAAGTAACCCAGAAACTTATTTATTAGACCGATGGACTAGAAACACACAGTCAATTTTTAAAAAAGTTTTAATTACTAAGAAAATTGCATTATGTATTTTATTCAGATTAAACAAATACTGCTAGACAAGCCTGCCTCCAAGATAGCAAGGCAAACAGCAAGCAGTAAGCCACAGCTTTTTCTAATGCAAAGAAAAAAACCTCTTTATGCGAGCTGGAGTTCTACCCCTTCCAGTTTGCCCAGACTTGCCCCCTCCTTCGCTGTATGCTTTACCATGTTGTTGACATAGTGCAAGATTTTTTTTTTTTTTGGCTGACATACTAACACTAGACAAAGCCCTCTTTCATCAAGTATTCAACTGCGCTCAAACACCAGGCTACCAAAAAACCAGCAGTGCTAGACACTATGCAGTCTTCCACAGCTAGATTACAAACCACTGCTTCTTAGAATAGGAATCAGTATCTGTAAATTGAATCCTTTACTAGAGTATCAATACTGAGTCTCCACATAAACCAGCAATGCAAAGTTTTGTTATTACATCAAATCCACTGTATTTGATACTTTCACTAAACTTGTACCCAACTGGTATTAGAGACGCTAACAAAATAAGACAGAACTGAGATGGCAGGTTTTTACCTTCCAAAAATGTCGAGGTAATTACACAGTATTGATGATTGGTGTTTCAGTCTAGCCTCCTAGCCGATTTTAAGTTGAAGTTTTGAACGTAAACTCCATTTTTCCCAATAAATGCAAACATTTTTCACATTTTGCAATCATTACAAGAGTACTTTTGCTGCCATTCAGTTTCATACAGCACACACTGAAAAAAACCACACAGCCCTACTCAAGACACACAGCCAGCAAGCTTTACTGAAACTAAGCATTTTGTGGTGATCTGAAATAAAGATGAACGTTTGGAGAGACGCCTTTCTTTGAAGCTGTCTGTGATGTTTAGAACTAGCTAGAGTAAGCTCTGAGAGCAATGTAAAAAGCCTGAGGGGAAAAACAAAAAAAACCAAAACCAAGTCAAAAGCAGTTTGAGCAAGTCTTTATTGTTCTACTCCAATAACTAGAAGTAACAAGACAAACTAATTCCCCAATTCCTTTTGTCAAAATGTTGGGGCATGGTGGAATCCAGCCCTCAAATGCATGCTTTGAAAAAGGAAAAAATAAAGAGTTATTTTTGTGATTTGTGCCTTGCAGCCAAACTTGAATGACCCTGAGAGAAGTCTGTGCAGGCAAGTCCCTGGAAAGATTTATGTGCAGCTTGTTAGATCAGTTTCCCACCCCTCTTCGTGTTATTGCTTTGCAAATTGAGGAATGTGATAGCAAGTGTTAATCTTGACTAAAATCCACCATGAGGAATGCTACAGTATTGCTTTTTATTACAAATAGCCAAAAATTCTTTGCAAATATAGATGTGGTAAAACAAGCAACTGACTGTACAGTACATTTACAGTATACAATCCTGAAAGTTACATGCAGCGTAAAGAACTGCTTTATACATTAGCCCTTGGCCACAAAGAACTTGGCAGTACTACAACAACTGTAATGACTATAGGGTGAAAGAAATAATTAAAAAACAGAAATCTCAGTTACACCTACGTTTACCATGAGACTGGGTTACATACACCGTTGTACAAGGAATAGCAGTTTTTAACTAGAAACTGTCATCATGTTGTAATTCTTGGAAGGGCTGGATCTGCCAATTCTCCACTCCTCCTTACAGCTGGTCCTACTCTCCAGCTGTTTGGTCGTCTTCCCACCAGGCTGGGGGCTTTCATAAAGGACACAGATAGACCCATCTTCCCCTATACGATAGGACACTTCAAAAGGGTCGACCCAAAGAGTTAATTCGCTGGGTAAGAGCTGGAAGAGTCTCTCGTGGCTCAGTCCAATCATCCCCGCTGCCTTTCCTATCAGGGGGTCCATCTTATGGTTGATCCTAATGCACCGGTATCCAGAGCCCTTGGAGGGCACCAGGGGGAACCAGTGGTGCTTGTAGTGCTCTGCGGGAGGGAACAAAGACGAGGTTTACCGCGGCCCCGGAACCCCGCCGACCTCGAGCCCCGCTCCGCCA